GGGGCCAGCCTGGTGGTGGCCCTCAGAGACTGTCCCCGTGTCACTGGGGCTAGGAGTTTAGACGGCGGATGCGAGCACGCGGTGGAAAGCGCTTCGCTACCCGTGGGCTGAGCTGCGGCAGCGAAGCGTATGCTGGCGCCCGCCCTGCTGCGGCGATGGGGGCCAATGCCGGCGTCCTTCACTCAAGGACGGACACGTTTAGGCATTGTCAGCTGATGGGTGGCCTTGTGCCACCCTGACTGGCACCTGTGCCCGCACCTGTGCCTGTAGGGCTGGTGCTTGCAGGTGGATTTGGGACAAGGGTGCCCCTGAGCCACCCAGCTGGAGGGAACGCGTGGAGACCCACCAGCTGAAACGCCGTGGCAGGGATGGGGGACGTACAGCGAATGCTGGTCCCTGTCCCCTCCATCCCTGTCCCCTCCCTGCAGTTTTATAGGTCACTGAATATCAAGGTGGCCCTGATCGGCCTGGAGGTGTGGACGGAGCGGGACCAGTGTGCCGTGACTAGCGACGCCAACGCCACGCTCTGGTCCTTCCTGCAGTGGAAGAAGGCTCTGAGGTCACGCAAGAAGCACGACAACGCCCAGCTGCTGACGTGAGCACCCCTATGGACCCGGGGGTGTCGGGGCAGGGGGCTCCCGGGGTCTCCAAACCACCCCTGGGGTCCTAACTGACCCTCCATTCCCCTTTCCGGGCAGAGGGAAGACGTTCAGGGGCACAACCATCGGCATGGCCCCGCTGGAGGGGATGTGCAGCGCGGATAACTCCGGAGGCGTCAGCGTGGTAAGAGGGACACGGGGGTCCCTGCTGCTCCTCCCAGGCTGGGGGACCCCATTGCCACCCCGTCTTGCTGGGGTTCTTCATGGGCTTGGAGGACCAGCCACCCAGGGTTGGTCCTGGGGTGCAGCCTGAGAGCTAATGGCGATGCTGGTAGCCCCTTACCCCTCTCAGATGTTGGCCAAGTACTAAGGGTGGTGAGAAAGGGCTAGTTTAAAGGTCTTCCGCCCCATGTACACCCCCAGCTTGCAGCTAGCAGCAGCCTTAGGATCTCCTGTGTTACTTCTGCCCCTCACATTGCATAGTCCCTGCCTGTACCCTGCTTGTGCTCTCTCTGGTTTTGTAGGGTCATCTCCACCCCAGATAACTCTTCTCCTCCTCCTGATGGGGTGATGGTGGCCCTGGTGGCCTGTGGTCCCTAGGCAGGGTGGTGGTGTGGGGCATTGAGGTTTCTGGGTTTTGGGATACGCCTTCCAAGGCCCCAGGTTTTCAGCAGTTGGCTCCAGCAAAAAAGCCTCCCAGCAGTCCCACGTGGGACTTCTAGGAGACCAAACACCACTTTTACCATGAATCCTCCTCTGTCCCTCTCTCTCTCTCCCACGGGATCCAGCTACAATCCCAGGGCTGTTGTGGTCCCTCCATCACCCCAACCCCACTGCCTGCTGTGGGATCACCCCTCTCCATCCCTCCTGGCTGCTGTGCTGACGCATCCCCCATCCCTATGCAGGACCACTCGGAGCAGCCCATCGGAGCAGCCGCCACTATGGCCCACGAAATTGGCCACAATTTTGGCATGAGCCACGACAGCACGGGCTGCTGCGTGGAGGCCACCCCGGAGCAAGGCGGCTGTGTCATGGCAGCGGCCACTGGGTAAGTGGCGGTGGGGACGGGATGGGGGCCCTAAGCCCCTCAGCAGGTTGGGGATGCTGTTTGCAGCTGGGTGGGCTGGGGAGGGGGTCCTGTCCTGCAAGGCACCATTGTGGGTGCAGTGCTCCATTGCAAAGGGGGACCTGGCTGGTTGCCCTCCTCCCCCTTTGCTCTGCGCATCCCAATTCCCTGAAGCGAGCATATCCCTGGGCGCAGGAGCAGGTAGAGCTGGTGGTCTCCAAGGGGTAGCAGAGGGGTAGCAGCCCCATCCCAAAAGAGCTAGGGACGGAAGTAAATGGATATTGTTTGGTAGACACATCACAGGAATCCAAGGAGTTTTCCTGTACTAACCCACACCTCAGCACAATGGAATTATTCTTTATTGTAAGACAAGGAGGGCCAAGGCGTGCCCAGTCCCTGGTCCTGTTGGTGGGGACTCAACGGCATCGCGGGGTTGTGATGGGATGAGCTCACAGCCCTCACCCCAACCCCATAACCTGGACGCGGGATGCTCTGGAGTGGCATTGGCTTTCATGCTTTCTGGCATCCCTCCAGGGTTTGTTTTTCTTTGCTTTTACCCTTTAATTTGGCCCAAAGCTGTATGAAATTCAGCTGGTTGGTGCCACTTTCCCTTCCAAGGTCCTTCTCCTGTTGGGCTTTCCTGCTCCCAGCAATACAGTCGTCCCGGATTTCCCTGCACTGCCAGAAAAGCAGCTGTTTATTCCCCATTATTTGAATCCACTCACTCTTCCAATTAATAACTAACAGCCAAAACCCACTATGTGGTTCCAGGGTGTCCCCAGGCTGTTTTCCCTTGGCTCTCAGGGCTGTCAGACCGCGGCGCTGACCCCACGGGGTTTAGTCTCATGAGGTGAGGAAAAGCACTGGCTTTCCAGGACAAGGCAGTTGTGTGCTTGTTTGTTTAGTTATCCTACTAATTAATTATCCTGCCCCCACCCTCGGGGTCTGGATGCACTGGTGCAAAGCAGGAGCAGATGCTGTAGCTCAGCTGTGCCCCTGCTCACCCCTGCAGGCAAAGCTCTCTGAGCTGACATGTCCCCGTGACATTTCTTCCTTCTTATTTTTGATGAAATATTTTTTTCCCCACATGGGCAGGAAACACATTTTTGACTGTCTTCAACCTGTCCCTGTTTGCACGTTCATGCACCGGCTTATTCGGTATATTTTCTTGCTCATCCTCCCATAACTTGCATGGACTTGCTTTTCTACAGCTCAAGAGATTTCCCCCAGAATTCAAAAATACTTTTAGAAAAAGCCCTCTGTGTCATCTCAGAAATGAGATGTCCTAATATGAAATAAAGGTTTTTTTTTCAGCGATAGGAGGAAATGAAACCCACGTTGAAACAGAGCGTGGTGCACAGCTTTTACTCTCTGCTTCCTCCTTCTTAGTACATCACACCAAAGAAAGGACAAACTTGTGCAAAATTACGGAAGAACCATGCTCAGAACTTCTCTAGAAAATCACCGTTTCTCTCCAGCTCCTTATAGGAAAGGCCAGTTGGGCTGTTAGAGAAATGACCTTACCTGTTGTAGGCTCTGATTTTTTTTTTGCTGTTCGGGCCTTCTGAACAATTCAATACAGGGGTTTTTTGGGTGTTTCTTTTTCATATTCCTTGAACTTTTAAAATTACTTTTGTCCATCTCAGCCTCAGAGGTATTTAAATAGCCCCAAACGGGTATTTAGAATCAGTGATAACAGGCACGTGTTTAGCAGACACCCTGAGCAGATAGTCACTGCAGATGTGGAGACCTCTCTTGCGGTTAGGACTGGGGGGGTCTGTGGTGTCCCAGGTGTGGGGGACCGAGGCACAGAGGTGACACCTACACCAGCGTCGAGCTGGCAGAGCCTGCAGGCATGGGGGCTCCCTGGTCTTTGAGGTTCAGACCATGGGGGTCTCCAATCTCCAAGAGGTTTCTTGCTGGAGAGTTGATGTTCTGGGATTGGGCTCTGCTTGTCCATCCCATCCCTTTCTGGACAATATTTGGGTTCAGTGTGAGATTCCCTGGTTGTTAGTCTGATGCTCAGCCGTGAGAGTTGAGGTGGGAGATGTTTGCTGTCATGATGCATCTGGCTGATGGTGGCTTCTACTCTTGGAAAGGTTTGTGCCAGTTTGCCCGTGTCCTTGTTTCCCAGTTCTGACCGTGGTTTTCCACCTTCTCCTGGTCCCGATATCCTGGTTCCTGTCCCTCCCCATCTGTTCCCTGCGCAGACACCCCTTCCCTCGCGTGTTCAGCTCCTGCAGCAAGAGGCAGCTGGAGAACTACTTCCAGAAGGGAGGTGGCATGTGTCTTTTCAACCTGCCTGACACCAAGGACCTGGTGGTGGGACGGAAATGTGGCAACGGCTTTCTGGAGGAAGGAGAAGACTGTGACTGCGGGGAGGTGGAGGTACGATGCTGGGTGCTGCAGCGCTTTCCCGCAGAGCTCTTTGCAGCTCAGCTCAGCTCAGCTGCTGGGTAGCAGGATGTGGACCATGTGGGGAGGGCTATTTCCAAGGGAAAGGGGTTTGCTGGTCACCACACGGACTCCAACCAGTCCCACCTTCCTAAATCCATTTAACCTGGTCCTGGCTTTCTTCTTGGTCTTGTTCAATATCTTTATTGATGATC